GCAGCAGCAGTGGCACCCGCAGCAGCAGCAGAAGCACCAGCAGAACTCTGCATGTTGGCTGCACCAGCAGCTGCAGCAAAGCCAGGCGATGGGTATGAGGTATCAGAACAGTTGCAGCCTCCTGCTGCAGTGAGTACAGCAGCAGCAGCAGGTGCAGCAGCAGCAGCAGCAGCAGCAGCAGCAGCAGCAGATGCTGCTGCTGCACTATCAGTAGCAGCACAAGAAGCGGATTTTAACAGCGCAAAGGAAGATGTTGCTGCTGCATATCTAGAAACCAGCGCCACGGCATCTACAGCAGCAGCAGCAGCAGCACCAGCAGCAGCAGCAGCAGCAGCAGCAGCAGCAGCAGCAGTGATAGAAACGGAGGGCTACGGGTCTGACAAGTGTTCTGTTGATGAAATTGAGAGCGATCCTCAGCAGCTCAAGAGCAGCAGCAGCAAGAGCAGCAATGTCAGCAGCAGACGCAGCAACAGCAGCAGCAGCAGCAGCAGCAACAGCAGCAGCAGCTGCTGCTGTGGTGGGCTTAGTGTATGGAGCGTACTAAGCCGGCAACATGCCTTAGGAAAGGCAGCAACAACACCCATCACAAACCGCCGCAGCAGTTGGCTGTCAAGCAGAGACAGCAACTGCAGCAGCAGCAACTGCAGCAGCAGCAGCAACTGCAGCAGCAGCAGCAGCAGCAGCAGCAGCAAGAGACGCAGAAGCAGCTGCAGCAGATTCCATGAGGGCCTCTTGCTCAGCCCCCTCACCTGCAAGCATCAGCCAAGAAAGCTAAGAAACCGCCACTCACTCACACACCTACCCGCTGCCCCCACACAGCAGCAGCAGCAGCAGCAGCAGCAGCAGCAGCAGCAGCAGCAGCAGGAGGTAGACAACAACAACCAGCAGCAGCAGATACAGATACAGCAGTTAGACAAACAACAGCAGCAACAGCAACAGCAGCAACAGCAGCAGCAGCAGCAGCAGCAGCAAGTTCTTGCTGCTGGGGGATGCTGCTACCGCAGAGCGTCTGATAGTGCTCAGTACAGCAGCAAAAGGGTACCCGGGGCCCCTAACTGCAGCAGCAAGTGGGGGGCCCCTAGCAGCAACTGCATGCAACCTGATGAAGTGTAGTTATTATTAAGTTGCTTGGTTCTGTTGCTGCTGTCTCTTTTGCTGCTGTCGCTGCTCGTTCTGCTGCTGCTGCTGCTGCTCTGGCGGCTTGTGTGGTTGCTGCTGCAGCCATGGTGAAGGTTTTTTTTTT